CCATGTGACACCCCTCCTGCGCGAGCTGCACTGGCTCCCAGTGGTCTTCCGGGTGCGATTCAAGGTGTTAGTTACCACCTTTAAAGCACTCCATGGCATAGGACCCGGGTACCTCCGAGACCGTCTTCTGCCACCAATAGCCTCCCACCGACCAATCCGTTCCCACAGAGAGGGTCTCCTCAGGGTGCCGTCAACCAAGTTATGTCGACTGGCAGCGCCCAGGGGGAGGGCCTTCTCTGTGGGAGCCCCAGCCCTGTGGAACGAACTGCCCCCGGAAATTCGTAAGATCTCCGACCTCCGGGCGTTTCGCTGCACACTGAAGACCCTATTATTCCGCCAGGCCGGACTAGCAACACAATAGTTTTTAAATTGGGATATTTAAATTTATTGGGGTTTTAAATCTGAGCCACTTTATTTAATTATTTTAAATTTTATATTGTTGTTTTGTTTGTGTTTTTAAACAGGCTGTACACCGCCCTGAGTCCTTCGGGAGAAGGGCAGTATAGAAATAAAATTATTATTATTATTATTATTATTATCAAGAATCATAAGGTACAACACTTAATGATAATCATAGGGTATAAATAAGCAATCAGGAAACAATATCAATATAAATCGTAAGGATCCAAGCAACAAAGTTTCAGTCATACAGTCATAAGTGGGAGGAGATGGCTGATGGGAATGATGAGAAGATTAGTAATAATGCAGACTTAATAACTAGTTTGACAGTGTTGTGGGAATTAGTTGTTTAGCAGAGTGATGGCATGTGGGAAAAAAAACTGTCCTTGTGTCTAATAGTTCTGGTGTGCAGTGCTCTATAGCGTCGTTTTGAGGGGAGGAGTTGAAACAGTTTATGTCCAGGATGCGAGGAGTCTGTAAATATTTTCACAGCCCTCTTTTTGACTCGTGGAGTATACAGGTCCTCAGTGGAAGGCAGGTTGGTAGCCATTGTTTTTTTCTGCAGTTCTAATGATCCTCTGAAGTCTGTGTCGGTCTTGTTGGGTTGCAGAGCCAAACCAGACAGTTATAGAAGTGCAGATGACAGACTCAATCATTCCTCAGTAGAACTGGAATGATTATTATCAACTTCAAATAGGATGAACGTATTTGACAGCAGTAGCAATCTTACGAACTCATAACACAGCATAACATGGAGATTCTCAGCCATCCAGGTCATGCATGGCTGTCTCAAAGTTGTTTTTTTCAAAAGGCAAGGGGAGTTTCTTTGTTTTTCCTTGAAGAGGTGTCGCTTCTCATCCGAGAAGCTTCTTCAGTTCTGATGGAAAGGTTTATATTCCTTGCAATCATCTGGTCATTAGTACTCTTTCTGAGAGTCTTTGAAGCCACTTGGAGGTTTATCAGTGCCCTCAGGTTCACATGAATAGCGCAAAGGGGTGTGGAGCCCTTTGAAAAAGCATGTTTCGGACAACCATGACCTAGATGATTGAGAAACTCCATAGGCATTTAGGGAGAGAACGTGATGTCAGCACTTCAACCTGCATTTACTCTAGTGCTGACATAAGAAGGAGAAGCGAAGGAGTCTGGAAAGGGACGTTTGACTTTTCACCTACTTATTTTCCCTGGAGATAATATCCCCTAGGAGATGGGATGGGAGGGGGGAAATTCCTTTGAGCTGGAGCAGTAGATTAGGGGTAGAATGACTTGGAAGTTGGCCAATGAGTGCAGGGGAGTGGGGAACGGAAAGGGAGGGTTTTGGGTCTGGAAGTCAGTGTTGGCTTCAATTGGAGTCGGGTTAGAATGTCGTGCTTAATAAATAGGAGTTTTTCTTCAAAGACTTTGTTTGAAAATGCAATTCGAGACGACCTCGAAACTTGACATGTATATTATTTCAAACAAGTGACTGTCTCGTCTCTTCTTAAAAACCTCCAGTGATGGAGCGCCCTCGATTTCTGGTGGCAAGCTGTTCCACTAGTTAATTGTCCTCGCTGTTAGAAAGTTTCTCCTTAATTCAGATTTCAGAAGGTACCTGATCTTGACAGCATAGTTACACAGGTAGTCTTCAATTCACAACCATTCACTTAGGGACCGTTCCCTAAATTACGACGGCACTGGAAAAAAGTGACTTACAATTAGTCCTCGCACTTACAACATCCCGTGGTCATGTGATCAAAATCCAGGCTCTTGGCCACTGGCATGTATTATGACAGTTGCAGCCAGTTTCCAACAAGCAAAGTCAAGGAGGGAAACTTGATTTTCTTAACAACGGTTCGATTCGCTTAGCGACTGAAGTGATTCGGGGCGAAAAAGGTGGTAAAATCACACGCAACTCACTTAACAACCAACTGCTCGGCAATGGAAATTCCGGTCCCCAATTGTGACCGTAAATTGAGGACTACTTGTGGTATTATAAAAATGGAACAAATAAACAGCAATGTAAAAACGCTGATATTCAAGCCAATCATTTTGCAGGGAGCTAATTGCAAGCGTTTTCTAATATTGCTATTGTTGTTCCTTTGTTTGTTTGCCATTGTAGCCCTAGAATTCAGGGGTGTCAAACTCGATTTCATTGAGGGCCGCATCAGGGTTGCATTTGACCTTATTGGGTTGGGGTGGTTGTTGCTGGGGTGGGCGTGGCCAGCTCAACATCGCTCATATCGAGGGCACCTGTGGCGGCCCAAGTGCTCCACCAGTGAAAACAGGCTCCCAAGCTCCGTTTCCGGCTGTGACAGCCTCCTGCAACACTGCCAGCGAAAACAGAGGGCTGCACACAGCCTTGCAAGCTCCGTTTTCAGCTGCAGCGGCCTTTGGCAAGGGGTTCTTTGCCCGGTTGCTGGGTGGGTGTGCTCATGGTGGGCGTGGCCTAGTCAGCCTCCTGCACCATGATGGGGCGGGGCGTTTTTGCCCCCCCCCCCCTGGGCTCCGGAGGCTTTCTTCGAGCCTTTGGGAGGACGAAAACCGCCTCCCCAGGCTCCAGAGGCCAGAAACAGGCCCATTTCTGGCTTTCCCGAACTTCCGGTAGGCTCATTTTTTGCCCTTCCCAAGCCTTCCCACGTGCCCTGCACTTACCTGCATCCAAAATGGGTCATGTGGGGACTCCTGGGAGGGGCAGGGCGGTGTGGGGTGGGGAGAGCCAGCCAGAAGTGGGCTTTGGGGATTCTCAGAACTGCACAGAATCTTAGCTAGAGGTTCTCCCGAACCCTCAGCAGCTCAACCCTGACCAGATTTAAGCATTCCATAGGCCGGATCCAATCTCCAGGCTTTGAGTTTGACACTTCTGCCTTAGATACAGTATTCTTGGTAGCTTATAACAAGCAATAATGACTTAGCGTGCTGCCGTAATATGAAGCCGATAGTTATGGATTGCAAAACATGGTTTCCCCTCTTGATACGCCGTCTAAAGCCGAACGCTGCAATTTGTAAAATTATAAGTTACCGCTCAGCAAGTTGGTCAAACCCAGCCAGTTATGGCTTGTATAACCAATGATTAAAACAAACCTCTTCTTAGCGTAGTTAACGTTAAGGAAAGGAGTGTGTGGGGGAGAGAAACGTCGAATCCCACTGAGAATGGAAGTAAATGTGTGGCAAGGTCACTCGCTTAGATGCATTACTCACTGCACTGATGTCATTTATAAAAGAGAGATTATTTTAAAGTCTAGACAAAAACATTTTGATTCCTCGATGTGATGTTTGACGCGGTTCCCCCGTAATTTTCTTTGAGGGTAATTTTCCTGGCAGAAGGTTGATTCGGGTGACGGCGGGGAGGTAAAAGGAATGCATATCAAAACCTTTTAACTGGCAAATTTATTAAAAGCTTCAGGAGGTCAGACGATGATCAACGTTAAGCCATCTTTAAAATCTATCGTTTCACTGCTTTGGATTGAGACAACTTCCAGTATTTGAGGGGCTGCCCCAGAGAGGAGGGGGTCAAGCCAGGAGTGAAATTCAAATTTTTCCCCTACCGGTTCTGTGAGTGTGGCTTGGTGGGCATGGCAGGGAAAGGATACTGCAAAATTTCCATTCCCATCCCACTCCAGGGGAAGGATATTGCAAAATCTCCATTCCCATCCCACTCTGGGGCCAGCCAGAGGTGGTATTTGCCAGTTCTCCGAACTACTTAAAATTCCAGCTACCGGTTCTCCAGAACCTGTTAGTACCTGCTGGATTTCAGCCGCAACTGTCTCTTGTAGCCCTTTGCCAGCAAAAATGGAGCTCAGGGACGCCGTGCATGGCTCATCCGGACCCCGTTTTTGCTGGCAGAGAGCTGCAGGAGGCCATTGCGGCCGAAAACAGAGCTTGGAGCTCCATTTTCGCTGGCAGAGGCAGCACAGGCTGGTCCTTCGGTGTTTCCAGGGTGGGGCCATGGACCAGATCTACGCACCAGGTTGGATTCGGCCTGGAGGCCTTGAGTTTGACACCCTTGTCCTATTTATTTATTTATTTTTTTAATTTGATTTACATGCCGCCCTTCTCCGGAGACTCAGGGTGGCTTACACCGCGTTAAGCAATAGCCTTCATCCTTTTGTATATTTATACAAAGTCAGCTTATTGCCCCCACAATCCGGGTCCTCATTTCACCTACCTTAGAAAGGATGGAAGGCTGAATCAACCTTGAGCCTGGCGAGATTCGAACTAGCAGTAATTGCAGGCAGCTGGTGTTACATTACAGTGCTTCTGTCTGTTGAGCTAAACCGGGCTCCTGGTTTATTTATTATTTTATTTATTTATTTATTTTGTCACATTTCTATACCGCCCCACTCCCAAGGGACTCTGGGCGGCTGACAACAGAGAATAAAACAATGCAACAACATCCCATACAAAAGTTAAAAGAAGACATTAAAACATTAAAACGTTACAACACATACACTCCAATCTGTGGCCGGGTCTTGCAAGATCACTATAACGAGATCACCGCTCCTAGAGCCTCACTGCTTTAGAATCTTCAGAAGGGAGAAAATGCAAAAAAAAGGGGAACACAAAACTAAATTGCTTTTCTTCTTTTTTTAAAAAATAATAATAATAATAATTTAATCTATTTTTAGGCCACCCCAACACGCCGCTCCAAGAGTTCGTCCTCTGTCTGTCGCTGGGCTATTTCATCTTCGACTTCTGCTGGGAATTCCTTTTGGAGAGCAAGAACGACCTGATGCTCTCTCACCACCTGCTCAGCATGGGCGGCATGTCGCTGGTTTTGGACACCGGCAAGTCGGGCCCCGAACTCAGCGCCATCATCTTCGTGAGCGAGATCACCAACCCGTTCTTGCAAATGCGTTGGTTCCTGCGAGACAGCGGGGGCTACGACAGCTTGGCTGGCGATGTAGTGGACACCTTGTTTGTGGCTCTCTTCCTGGGGCTGCGGATCGTCGGGGGCGCCTGGATTATGCCTTCCGTGATGAAGTCCCCCAAGACGTACTGGACACTCAAGGGTGGAATCCTAGCGATGTACGGGGTATCCTTCATGTTTTTGATGAAGATCTTCAGCTTCTCCAGGAAGAAAATCAACAAGAAAATCCAGGCTTGGAAAAATGGAAGAACCCGAAGAGATCCCACCAAGTGTAGCCAACCTCTTCCGAACTTGGGTATCCAGGGGTCTGTTGAACCCAACCTACAAGGAGCAAATAGATCTTGTTGACTTGGGAATCTATTTTCCACGCCAGATCTGGATTCATGACTCAGCTCCAGAGAGCCATGCCTAGAATTCAAGATGATGTTCAAAATGCAGCCAAAGTCAGTAGGAAATGGCCTGGGAGAAGAGGTTTTGCAAGAGGAAGAGGTTTACTTCTGAAATCAGTCAATCCAGTGTCAAAGGCCACTTGCCAGAGGGGGCTGCTAAAATGGATCACAGTGAAGTATGGATCTGAGCAGGGGTGAAATCCAGCAGGTTCTGACAGGTTCTGGAGAACCAGTAGCTGGCCCCCAAGTGGGGTGGGAAAGGAGATTTTGCAATATCCTTCCCCCAAGAGTTGAGAGGGAATGGGGATTTTGCAGTATCCTTCCCCTGGAGTGGGGGTGGGAATGGAGATTTTGCAGTATCCTTCCCCTGGAGTGGGGGTGGGAATGGAGATTTTGCAGTATCCTTCCCCTGGAGTGGGGGGGTGGGAATGGAGATTTTGCAGTATCCTTCCCCTGGAGTGGGGTGGGAATGGAGATTTTGCAGTATCCTTCCCCTGCCAAGCCACGCCCACAGAACCAGTAGTAAAAAAAAAAAATGGATTTCACCACTGGGTTCTGAGGCAAGAAACATTGGGCCCAAACGCGGGGGGGGGGGGGGGAGACAGACAGAGTCCCACCTGATTTGGAGGATCACTGCAGGTAACTCAGATGGCAAAGATGCTTGTCAGTTTTGTCAAGGATGGGATATAAAACCAGATTTCTGGTAGTCCCAAAGGTGCTTTTTATTTTTTATTTCCCCCAAAAAAAGCAGCTGGACTTTCTTGTTTTTTGTTTTTTGCCTTGAAGACGTTTCGCTTCTCATCCAAGGAGCTTCTTCCATTCTGACCGAATGGCGGAGGATGGAAGGGTTTATATTCCTTGCAGTCGTCTGGTTTTAGCACTCTGAAGGTTGGTCGCTCGCTTTCGGAGAGTCGTTGAGGCTGCTTGGGGGCTTATCCGCACCCCTCAGGGTTACGTGAATCAGGGTGCAAATGGGGGTGAAAACTTCGCGAAGGACCATGTTGTAAACAGGAGACAGGGGATGTCGTATCCCTCCCCTTCAATTGAGAGAGAGGGCTGTTCAGTTTTAACGTGGACGTGGACTTTCTCCAGAATGGGTTTTTTTATCAAGTTTTTAATTTTATATTACATATACATATCAGTGCGTGAATAGTGTGACACCTGCGTGCCAAATATTTCAGTACAGATAAAATAATATTATTAATCATCACATTCATCCAGTTTATACATTTCTAATGTTAATACTTTCCTAATATGATTGGATTGCTTATTTGTATCCTAGGACCATCATTAAGTGTTGTACCTTATGATTCTTGACGAATGTATCGTTTCTTTTATGTACAATGAGAGCATATGCACCAAGACAAATTCCTTGTGTGTCCAATCACACTTGGCCAATAAAAAATTATATTCTATTCTGTTCTGTTCTGTTCTGTTCTGTTCTACTCTATTCTACTCTACTCTATTCTTCTATTCCAATCTACTTTTTCTTCTATTCTATTCTATTCTACTCTACTCTACTCTACTCTACTCTATTCTATTCTATTCGTCTATTCCAATCTACTTTCTATTCTATTCTATTCTATTCTATTCTATTCTATTCTATTCTATTCTTTTTTTATTTTATAAAAATGTGCCTAATATTTCCCCTTTCTCTTATTTCTGTCTTCATTCTAACATTTATTCATGTCACCATTATATTAAAAGACGTTCCCTTTGTATTGCAATACTTTCCTTCGTTATTTCATTGTTCAATATTTAAATATACAATTCTAATGCCAATCACAATATTATTTAAACCTACAAATTAATTCTATTCATATTCTTTACATTCAGCCAATCTATATATAATTCCACTATTAATACACCTGTATATATTAAAATATATTTTCATTTTATGACTTGTTATTTCACTTTATTATTCCACTGCAAATCATATTATTTAAACATACTCAACAATACCATTATTCAATCTCTAATTTTCCCATTTTTAATACTTAATTCTTATTCATATTTCCCATATTTCACTCTTTGAATCTATTTATATTAAAACACTATCCTTCATTATTTCATTATTCAATTTTTCAATATACTTTCTCCAAAATGCGAGAATGTCCATAGACACATTTCTGGCACTGTTATCTTACCTGGGTAAGCTAGAGACTGGGTACCTACCCTATTAATCACAGGCTGTTAATTTTGGATAAATCTATACAATGTTTAGGGACGCAGTGGCTCAGTGGCTAAGACGCTTGTCGATCGAAAGGTCGGCAGTTCAGCGGTTCGAATCCCGAGTGCTGTGTAATGGGGTGAGCTCCCGTTACTTGTCCCAGCTTCTGCCAACCTAGCAGTTCGAAAGCAGGTAAAAAAATGCAAGTAGAAAATAGGGACCACCTTTGGTAGGAAGGGAACAGCGTTCCGTGCGCCTTTGGCATTGAGTCATGCCAGCCACATGACCACGGAGACGTCTTCGGACAGCGCTGGCTCTTCGGATTTGAAATGGAGATGAGCATCGCCCCCTAGAGTCGGGAACGACTAGCACGTATGTGCGAGGGGAACCTTTACCTTTTATACAACATTTGAGCCTCCAGAGGGTGCAATTTCACAACTCATTCAGCCAGAGTCTGCTCATCTTGGAAGCAGCCATTCCATTCAAACATTCCCACTACTACGACATCCTTCTATATGATCTCCTCCGGCTTATTTCTTCCCAGCGTAAAATCCCAAGGGATTCGAATCGTTTTTGAACGCCCTGCTCCAGAGTGGATTTGAGGATCTGGAAAAAACAACAACATTCCAGCTCTCAATTTTGCTTACAGCCACAAATGAAAATATTTTGAAGGACTTGCAAACACAAGTCAAACAAACAAACACGTGAAATGAAATTGTACAGGACGGGCAAGGGAACAACGTTCCCCGGGGGGCTGTTTTCTTTTTCTGCTTTTTTGCAATACGGGCTTCATAATTGCATCACTATAAAAATAGCTGCAGTTTTTAAACAAACCATTAAAGCTGAAGTGCATGGAATCAGATTGTTTGGTGCTTGTTTTATGACAATTAAGGACCAACTCAAAGAAGGGAGAACGGACCGTTCGTGGTATGTGACACACAACTGTCCTTCCAGAAATACAAAACAATATTTTCAGTAACTGACTGCACAGGATGTATCCCCAAGCTCTTCGCAAATGAACCAATAGGACAATAAGGAATTAATTGTGAAAATGATCAAAATATTGATGATAATATCAAAATGATCCTAAACAGGAGGGGGACTACCCAATTTTCCTCTTTAGGAGACCAATAAACCCAAAAAAAGAATTTTTGTGAAATGCTTCTTTCTAAACCATAACAAATATATTTAATATTTCTTGAGACCTGAAAGTATTGGGTATTTTGTAATAGAAGAATCTCCATCTCTATAAATTTCTTGTACGGGTGGTCAAAATTATTTTAGTATTTTTTTAAAAAAAATTTTTTTGATAGTATTGTTGTTTAAGTTCCTATATAAAAACCCCTTCTGTAATATATTCGGAGGTACAAGGTTTTCAGAGGAACAGAGAACATGTTTTCACACATTATGAGCAGTTTTCTAGATGTAGAGAAGAGGTTGGTTCTTCTTACCACAGCGAGCCTTTAGAGATCTTCCTTCCTTCCTTCCTTCCTTCCTTCCTTCCTTCCTTCCTTCCTTCCTTCCTCATACTTTATTCCTTCTTCCTTCCTTCCTTCTTCCCTTCCTTCCTTCCCTTCCTTCTTTCCTTACTCATACTCTATTCCTTCTTCCTTCCTTCTTCCCTTCCTTCCTTCCTCATACTCTATTCTTCCTTCCTTCCTTCCCTTCCTTCTTCCCTTCCTCATACTCTGTTACTCCTTCCTTCCTTCCTTTCCTTCCTTCCTCATACTCTATTCTTCCTTCCTTCCTTCCTTCCTTCCTTTCCTTCCTTCTTCCCTTCCTCATACTCTATTCCTTCGTTCCTTCATTCCTTTGTTCCTTCCTATCCTGTCTTTATTAGTTTCACAAATAACTCATGGCAGCAAATATATCCAAGACATTTTCCTCCTCCTATTTCCCCCATAACAACAACCCTGTGAGCTGGGCTGAAAGAGAGTAACTGTCCCAGACAGTTCTTGTGACTAAGGAGGGATTTGAACTCCTGGTCTCTTGCTTTCTAACCTGGTGTCTTAACCAAATCTTCCCAAAACTCCTTCAACCAAGAAGTGTGTGTACATTTAACAAGCAGTGGTTCCCCCCTGGCTGTGTACTCCTGAAGTTGTCCTCCTGTACTCAGGGGAATAATTAGAGCTAACCTCACAATGCTCTAGAAAGCTGCCCTTAATCCTTCTCTTCAAATGTCCCACAGGATTGCTTCCGGAGTTTAACTGGGTCATATTTGCGGCAAGGAAAACTCGAACTAATCCACATTCTAACCCATTTGTGCGAATACGACGAACGGGAGTCTAAACGTGTGAATCAAGACAGGGCGATTCGCAGATTTCTTGATATCTGTGTGCGACGTGGGAATCTGTGACAAAGGGAGAAGGTTCAAGGATTTGTTCATTTATATTCTAAGATATTTGGAATTTGTCCATCAATAATACGTTCGCTAAGCTGGAAGAGGCCTACTCAATGGGAGTTTAGCCTGAATGAATGTGATTTAATAAATGTACTTATTCGGTTATGTGTTATTCTGTGTTTACTGATTCATAAACAGGCAACTTTCTTTTTGTATAAAACTATTTGGAGGGGAGGAAGGGGTTATAATATTTGGGCCCAGTGGGAATTCCCAAGCAACTAATAAAGACCTCTGAAAGGCAACAAGAAAGCATCGGGTTAAAGAAGCCAGGATTCCTGGTCAGGGGTAAAGATGCAGGCGGCTTGCTGGGAAAAATCAAAGGTTACAAAAGCAATATCTATCTATCTATCTATCTATCTATCTATCTATCTATCTATTATCTATCTATCTATCTATCTATCTATCTATCTATCTATCTATCTATGATAGATAGATAGATAAGATAGATAGATAGATAAGATAGATAGATAGATAGATAGATTATTAGATAGATAGATAGATAGATAGATAGATAGATAGATAATTAGATAGATAGATAGATAGATAGATAGATAGATAGATAGATAGATAGATAGATCGATCTTAACATAGAGGAGTCTCTAGTCTTAAGGTGAGCCTTCCAAAATATTTTAATCGGCCATATACATCTTCTTTATACCCAACAAGATTTTGAAACCATTGCATTCTAACCAGGGACTGGCACAGCTGCATTGCCAACTATAACTCAACAGCAGTTGGCCTCGGATCAGATTTCTGGCTGCTTCCTGCCCTGTTGAACTGCCCAAGCTGCAGATAGTTTACAGGTACTTAACTTCAGCCTTACTTGCTTGCAAACTAAACCAGGGGCCTCCTTCTATGGCATGATTTACCGTACCTGCGGGACCGACGCGCTCCTTCGCCTTCTCAGTTTCGCTGCTTTCCTCCAACCACCGTTGGAGAAAACGGTTCTCCCCACTTGGGCCGGGACGCCTTAAACCTAGTTTAATTTTAACCGGGGTCTGCCTGCCAGGTAAGCCCCTGGCCGCGTTCTCCCAGCAAGCCGAGGCCGCAAGCGATCCAGCAAGGCGCCTCCTTTTCCCCCCACGTTGCGCGCTGGACTCCTGCGCGCGATCGGCGGGCGGCGCGGTGCCCGCGGGCGCTGCCATCCGTCCTCCCCACCAGCAGGTGACCCTAAGCGGGCTTCCGTTCTCCGCCTTGCCATCGTCGCTGCCCGGACGAAGCTCGGTGATCTCGGGCACCGGGAGACGCCCTCGCCGCCGGGGGCGACCGGGAGAAGAAAAACCCGGGGCCTGGCTTGGCCAGGTGAGCTCCGACAGGTGTGCCCGCTCGCGCGCTCTCCTCGGCCGGCGGGGCTGAGTGGCTTGGGTTGGGTGGGGTAGCGGGTGGGCGAAGAGTCCGGGCGACCGCATTCGGGAGCGCTCCGGTTCATCGGGGACGCGCATCGGCCGCCGGCCGGAGCGCGATGCTGCGGGGTCTTTCGGAAAAAAAAAAAAGGCTGGAGGCGGGGGCGCGCAAGGAACGCGCCACAGGTTGCGCTTGGCCCTAAGCGAGGCTGGGGCTCCGCACGGGATTGCAACTCCCATGCACGGGATTGCAACTCCCATGCGCCACGGCCGGGGTCGGAAAGAAGGAGGAGAGGGTCTCCGCAGAGTTAGTTCCCGCGCGGTGGGTTCGCTCTGAGAGATATGCCTGGTAGCTAAAGGTTGGAGATTTATTTGCATGGCTTGGGATGTATGGGGTGAGTTCTGGTTAAGGGAGGGAGGGAGGGAGGGAGGGCTTGTCCTGTATGGGGGGAACCCAACCATAGATCCCATGTGGCTTGGTCGGGGAGGGACCAGAAGGACCCTCTAGTGTTGTGTTTTCAATCTTGGGCAGCTTTAAGATGGGTGGCCTTCAAATCCAGTTTTGACTGTTGAAGTACCACCATGTGGGAACACCTGAAAGACCAGGATAAGGACAATCTAGGTAGTTGCTAAGATTGGACAATAATGACATCATCCATCCACCCACCCACCCTACTTCTTTTCCTTAGAATGCTGATAGGCAGCCATATAAATTGCTTAGTTGTTTTTTTTTAAAAAAAAATACTTCTTTTCCTTAGAATGCTGATGCAATTCATGATGGTGCCATTTATCCAGAGATGTCAGGAATGTTGGCCTCCTGAGGTCTTTGTGGCTTGTTAAGGGCTATCTTTGTGTCTGTTTGTTGGTTGTAGATGCTTATATTGGTTGTCAGTTATACAACTATTTGTAACATTTACGATCCATCCATCCATCCATCCATCCATCCATCCATCCATCTATCCATCCATCTATCCATGTATCCATCCATCCATCTATCCATGCATTCATCCATCCATGTATCCATGTATCCATCTATCCATCTATCCATCCATCCATCTATGTATCTATCCATCCATCTATCCATCCATGTATCCATCCATCCATGTATCCATCCAATCATCCATCCATGCATTCATTCATCCATTTATGTATCCATCCATCCATCTACCCATGCATTCATGCATTCATGTTTCCATGTATCCATCTATCCATCTATCCATGCATCCATCCATCCATCAATGTATCCATCCATCTACCCATCCATCCAATCATCCATCCATCTACCCATCCATCCATCCATCCATCCATTCATCAATGTATCCATCCATCCATCCATCCATCCATCCATCCATCAATCTACCCATGCATCCATCCATCCATCCATCCATCCATCTATCCATTCATGCCTTCATCCATCTATCTATATATATATATCCATCCATCCATCCATCCATCCCTTTCCACATTTCCCTTCTATTCCGCTGCAGAAGGATGATGGCCATGATTCTGTGGGTGGCCCTAAGCCTATGTGGCTGGCTCTCCCTCTACGCCTGGTCCTGCCATCACTACCGAGAGCGTGCCTGCGAATGGAGCTGCCGATTGGTCACGTTGACTCATGGCGTCTTCGTCACCTGCCTCTCCGGCTACATTGGGTTTATCGACGGTCCCTGGCCAATGACTTACCCAGGTATGTCCAGTCCATTTCCATAGAAGCAAACCTTGGCCCTCCCTTTATTTTCCGAGTTCCCGCAACAAGCCACGATGAAGCCACATCATTCAAGACTACAGGTATTCCCTGACTTAACAACCATTCGTTTAGTGACCGTTCAAGCAGCACTGAAAAGAGTGACTTAGGACCGGTTTTTCACACCTGTGACCATTGCAGCAGCCCCATGGACACGTGGTTGAAATTCAGGCAATTGGCAACAGGCATGAATTTAGGATGGTTGCAACCAGTGGTGGGTTGCTCCCAGTTCCTCTCCGGTTCTTGCGAACCAGTAGTAAAAGTGGTGGGAGGCTCCACCCACCTGCCCAGACGTCAGAATGGATGATCTGCACATGCTGAGAAGCTTCTGCGCGCACGCTTCCATTGTGAACCGGTAGTAAAGGTAAGTAGAACCCATTCCTTGGTTGCAACATACCCAGGTCAATGAAACAAAGAAAATGTTAAAAAGTTATGATATTTATGTAGTGTATTTACCAAGCACATCTAAATTATATTAAAGTAACCAAACTATATTTATAATCCCCAAGGTGTGTCGCAATTTTTGAGCACCCCTAATGTTGAGAAATTGCAGGTCGATCACTTGACCTACCGGTCAAGTGATCGACCTGCAATTTCTCAACATTAGGAGTCTGACCTACCGGGTCATGTGATGACCGTAGGTCAGAGGTCTGCAACCTTAAACACTCAAAGAGCCATTTGGACCCGGTTTCCCACAGAAAAGAAAACACCGGGAGCCACAAAACCCTTCCCGTGCCTGACTATTTCTTGAGTGGTCACGAAACTAGCATATGTAGTTGAATTAAACGTTCTCTTTTCTTCTGAAACTTTTCTTTTCTTGGATTTATCCATGGTTGGCCTACCGGGGGTTGAAAAGCTCAATAAATTGCGTGCCGGTGGGTGTCGCACATTGGCGGTTGTGACGCATATTTTGAGTGACAGAGAGCCGCAGCAGAGGGGTGAAAGAGCCACATGTGGCTCCAGAGTCGCAGGTTGATGACCCCTGCCGTAGGTCATGTGATCACCATCCCAGCCAGCTTCCGCTAGGACTCCAAGGTCCCTCTCCCTTGTTTTTGAGCCAAGTTTCACCTAATCTATACCTTTGATTTTTCTCTCTTCCTTTTCTTCTCCTCTAGGGTACCCAAATACGGCACTTCAGGTCCACGCCTTGTGCATCAGTTTGGGTTACTTCCTCTTTGACCTGGGATGGTGCGTCTACTTTAAGGCTGAAGGACCTTTGATGTTGGTCCACCATTCTGTCAGCATCCTGGGCATCAGCGCCTCCCTGGCCTTGGGCGAGTCTGCCGGCGAGGTCAACGCCGTCATCTTTGGCAGCGAACTCACCAACCCCTTCCTGCAGGCCCGTTGGTTTCTGCGGGAGAAGGGGTTGTACCCCAGCTTGATAGGAGACGTGGTGGACTTCCTCTTCGTGGTGCTTTTCGCAGGCGTGAGGATCGGGGTCGGGGCTTGGCTGATGTACTGCGTGTTGTTGTCACCCAGGCCCAGAGTCTTCATCAAGGTTGGAGGTTTCATCATGTATGCAGTGTCTTGCGTTTTCATGGTCAGCATTTTTAGGTTTGCCCGGCGTAAAACCATGAAGAAATATCAGGCCTGGAGGGCTTGGTGGAACAAAGAGGTGGACTTGAACGCCAATGGATATGTCAAGAGTCACTGACCTGATCGTGGGTTGTTCTCCAAGATTTAGCATCGATAATTAGTTTGGTCTTGTTTGAACCACCGACAGAGTGAAGGGGCCAAGGCGGCGTTGTAGGTAGATCACAGGACTACGTCTGGAGAAATCCAGGGTCCACCTCCCTGCTCAACCGTGAAACTCAGTTGGATGAGGGTGGACTTGCTGCTACCGGTACTCCGAGCCAACCCTACTTCCCAGAACTGTTGGAGGAAGAAATGAGACAACTGCCACTGCCGATGTCCTAAGCAATGGGTGGAAAGGTGGAAGATAACTACGATCTAGAGAGATGCATCGGATGTCGCAAGCCAGAATAGAGTTGATTCCTGTTTCAACCCAGTGCAGATGCTCGTGCTTAGTGGGAAGGTGTTGCACACACTCGTGTTGTGGGGGACCTTTTCTAATAACCTTTCTATTTTTCAAAATTAAGACATAATCCCAGTAACCCAGGAGTATTTCTAAAGAGCCTCCTGGATGGGTTGGTTGCCACTACCAAACTTTTCCTGGTTTGGAATTTGTTTTTCCCTCTTGTTCGCTGTCCCTGAATTAAGGGGACCAGATGAAACATGGGTAAGATATAGAAGAGCACAGTCCATACTGTTAAATAATTTAGAATGGGTTCTTCCTAGATCGTCTTTGAAGGACAGTGAAGTTATAGGCCATCAAGTCTTAGCTTCCCTGGCATTAAATAGATAGAGATCTGTCTGTCTGTCTGTCTTGCTCAATATATCCATCCATCCATCCATCCATCCATCCATCCATCCATCATCTGTCATCTATCTATCTATCTATCTATCTATCTATCTATCTATCTATCTATTTTTCCATCCATCCATTTCCATCCAACTTTTCATCCATCTATGCTTTCTACCTTGTATCCATCCAACTTTCCATCCATCCAATCTTCTATCTATCCATCCTTCCACCCACCCACCCAATCTTCTATCCACCCACCCACATATCCATCCACATATCCTTCCTTCCTTCCATCCATCCACCATCTGTCATCTATCTATCTATCTATCTATCTATCTATCTATCTATCTATCTATCTATTTTTCCATCCATCCATTTTCCATCCAACTTTTCATCCATCTATGCTTTCTATCTTCTATCCATCCAACTTTCCATCCATCCATTCAATCTTCTATCTATCCATCCTTCCACCCATCCACCCAATCTTCTATCCACCCACCCACCCATCCATCCATCCATCCATCCATCCACATATCCTTCCTTCCTTCCTTCCATCCATCCATCCATCCATCCATCCATCCATCCATCCATCCATCCATATTCATGTCTCCTTCCAGATATCCTCCAGATCCCTTTCTCCATAGCTGCCCCCTTCCAGAAGACAAACTGGGAGCTCTTCTGCATTATTATCTTTTCCTTGCCAATCCTATTGCTGAATCACCACAAAATGTTTTCCGTTATCATCTGTACTAAGCAAAAGGAGAGTCAACTAAAGACTAACCAAAAAAAAAAGCGGGGGGTAAGAAACCAGTTTAGAGACCAGTCTGGATTTCCATGGGGAGATTGCAGAATTTAAGAGTCATCACCTCTTCAGACAACGCAGCCTGATTCTCCTTTCCATGCCGGGCTGATTTGTCTATGGGGAAGAAAATGGAGCTAAATGAGTCTCCTTGGTGTGCTAGATTTCCCATGGAATCTGCTTTGGTTTTCAAACAGAGGAACCTGCAAATATTCATCTCAGGTGTACATTCCAGGTATTGAAGTAGGTTTGTTTCCTTGGCTCACCTGGCCTCTCATCATCTCTTCCAGGGGTGGTATTCACTCACCCTTCGCTACCGGTTCGCAAATGTGAGCGTGCGCATGTGCAGAGTGTCAAAAACGGGATGTGACGACCAGGGGTGGGTTCTACTTACCTTTACTACCAGTTCGCAACGGGAGCACTTCCGCGCATGCGCAGATCATCCATTATGACGTCAGGGCGGGTGGGCGGGGCTTCCCGCCGCTTTTACTACCAGTTTGCAAGAACCGGACAGAACCAGGAGCAACCCACCACTGGTGATGACGTCCCGGCGGGTGGCCGGAACCTCCCACAGCCGCCGCTACCGATTCGCCCGAACCGGATAAAACCGGCTGAATCTCACCACTGATCTCTTCCCTGCGAAAGGGCCAGGTTTGAGAGACAAGGAAGCAAGAGCGTCCATCTTTAAAGAGATGAGCTATATATTTATTTTATTTATTGACAGACGGACTGACAAATGGTTTCCTTTGCCACAGTTTCGATGCTGCTCTGTTCCCCAAAACTCTTTGCCTTTCCCAGACGGCGAAGGGGGTTTGGTCTTTAAAAAGGCACTAAGAGGTGTCACTAAGCGGTTAACCTGTATACGTCTTTGGCATTACCATGTAACAGTGATTCCAATGTCCCACCAATGATGGGCACAGCAAAACTGTATTATGTTTTATAACAAATAACAATAATAATAAAAAAAGATTTTACGGACATAAAATTGACAGAGTGTGCGTCTGGGGCAGGCATGATAAAACCTTGTTTCCCCCAAAATAAGACCTCCCCGGATAATAAGCCCAAAAGGGCTTTTGAGCGCATGTGGTAAAATAAGCCCCACCCCCCACCCCCAAAAATAAGCCCTCCATGAAAATATTTAAACGCATAGGCAGCCGATCCCTGCCATTTCTTCTGGTTAGAGTTAGGGAGACAGAGCTGGAAATCAGGTAAGATGGCAAGAGGAGTCCCGTCTTGCCCCACGCGCCCCAACTGCTTAGTTCGGGGATCAAAAAAATATAAGACAGGGTCTTATTTTCAGGGAAACACAGTATCACATGTAGAAGAGGCAGCCGGGATGGTCATGATTTTGTGTGTTACATGTCGGCTCCACCACTGTACGCATACACACACACACACACAAAGCTGTTTTCATTTTTAAAAAGCCAACGATATATAGGTTTTCTTTTTATTAACGTGTAAAAAGGATGAAGCAGGGATGTGACATACAATATCGGCAGGATTTCCCTCATCCTTCTCAAATTTGTCCAGTCCCCTTAAAAACACTAAAGCTTCTGGCTATCATGTTTTTTTGACCGTTTGAAAAAAAAAAAACCACAACCATACTAATAACGCTCTAATATTGGAGTTTTTTTAAGAGATTGGTATTTGTCTGAAATGGTATAGGCCCGTGATGGCGAACCTATGGCAGGCGTGCCCAAAGTGGCACATGTAGCCATGTCCACCTGGCACGCGCTGCGTCTCCCGTTACGCTTCCGGGTTTCTGGCGTGCATGCGTGTGCAACAATCAGCTGGACTTTTTGCATTGCGGCAGTGCTGGAAACTGGAAGAGTTAGTCTTCCGTTTTCCTGCGTAAGCATGCGTGCCAGCCAGCTGATTGCCGTGTGCACATGCGTGCCAGAAACCCGGAAGAGTAGCTGGCTGAAACCGGAAGTTCATTTTTGGGCGTGCGCATGCGCCCTGGGCAACTCCTCTTCCAGGTTTTGGCCCAGACGCGGATGTGCGCGCTCCCTTTTCAGCACTTGGTGTCAAAAAAGATTCGCCATCACTGGTATAGGCTTTCCTGCCTGAGCAGGGAGTTGGACTAGAAGACCTCGAAAGTCCCTTCCAACCAGGGGTGAAATCCAGTAGGTTCTGACATGTTCTGGAGATTTTGCAATATCCTTCCCCCAGGAGTGGAGAGGGAATGGGGATTTTGCAGTATCCTTCCCCCAGGAGTGGAGAGGGAATGGGGTTTTTGCAGTATCCTTCCCCCAGGAGTGGAGGGAATGGGGATTTTGCAGTATCCTTCCCCCAGGAGTGGAGAGGGAATGGGGATTTTGCAGTATCCTTCCCCCAGGAGTGGAGAGGGAATGGGGATTTTGCAGTATCCTTCCCCCAGGAGTGGAGAGGGAATGGGGATTTTGCAGTATCCTTCCCCCAGGAGTGGAGAGGGAATGGGGATTTTGCAGTATCCTTCCCCCAGGAGTGGAGAGGGAATGGGGATTTTGCAGTATCCTTCCCCCAGGAGTGGAGAGGGAATGGGGATTTTGCAGTATCCTTCCCAGTGGTTCAAAAAATTCAAATTTTTTTACTACTGGTTCTGTGGGTGTGGCTTGATGGGCATGGCTTGGTGGGCGTGGCAGGGGAAGGATACTGCAAAATCCCCATTTCCTCCCGATCAGCTGGGACTCAGGAGGCAGAGAAGAGATGGGGGCGGGGCCAGCCAGAGGTGGTATTTACCGGTTCTCTGAACTCAAAATTTCCGCTACCGGTTCTCTAGAACCTGTCAGAACCTGCTGAAACCCACCTCTGATCTTTCCCCTGCCATGCCCACCAAGCCACACCCACCAAGCCACACCACGCCCATCAAGCCACACCCAGAGAACCGGTAGTAAAAAAAAATTGGATTTCACCACTGCTTCCAACACCGTTATTCTGTTATCCAAACAAATGAAAACACGACTCACCGTGTGGCTTTTTCCAAGCCTTCATAGGCAAACCAGCATTCCCCATCTTCACTCAAATGTTGCAAGTCTTCAGGGGATGATCTGTTTATAAGGCAGAAAGGGAAGGGGAGTTTGGAAGAAACATCCGTCAAGAAAAATTGGAAAGCTGCTGCATTCTGGAAAGCCAACAAAGACACATCAGTACCTCACATCTGTAAAGTCAAGTTTTGTATCAAGACATATTTCACTTAACTATGTACTGTCGGATTTAGTTTGCTAAATCTGCACATCCCTCTAAGCCAAAATTGAACAAGCCACGCGGGTGAAGGGGGAATCAAGCATCATGGTTTACGGTTTGTGTGGTGCGTGAAGAAGGTCGCTATTTCTGAAGCAAATTCATTTTCCACAAACCCAGACGCTGTACATAATAATAATAATAATCCTAATTGTTTCTTGAAACGCTGCTATCGAAATACTCCATTTTCACAGCCTTTGTGTTTTCATAACCTGCCACAGTTATACTATTTTTCTCTCGCCAGTTCTCTGTACAAGAGACACAATCGTTTAAAAAGGAGGTTTTTGCAAGCTTTTTTTTTTTTATTAAAAGCAACAACAACTGTCTAATGGCTTGCAAAAATCCAATTTTTCTTCCTATATGTCTGTGGCATGAATGTTGATTAGCAAACTAAATCTTTTTACTCTGGGGTCTCTGTAAAAATTATAGCAGGTTCTAATAAACTTCCTTCTTTGACACAAAAAATGAGAGAATATTTAAAATCCCCCCCCCCAAAAAAACCAATCTATTTTGAATAGCTCGTTATACTGTACACTAGAATAGTGTATTTTTTCAATCTTGGCAGTGGACTTCAACTCCCAGAATTCCCAGCCTTCCTCCCAGGGAATTCTGGGAGTTGAAGTCCATCTTCAAGCGTTCAGGGTTGAGAAACACTGCACTAGAGGAGCTTGCTTGTTTTGTAGGAGTGTGTAAATCGTACTTATTACAAAATAAGTGTTTTGTGTTGCTTCAATCATGCAACGCAGCCGTCTTTAATTTTAACTGCTATTTTTTATCTTTCTGCTCTCCTTCTGAGAACGTTTCTTGGAAATTTAGAGCCGCTTCGAAATGTTCCTGACATCCCAATGGATGCTGTGCAGGCTGTTCATTTTGGACCCGATTGCTGTGAATTAAAAGAAACTCGTGGGGCAACGAAGCTTTAATGGTGACAGATTGCAGCGTTAGAGAATGAACCGAGCTCAGGTTGCCCATGGATTTCCTGGCAAGGGGAAATAAATGAGACAGGAGTCCTGCCATAGAAACCTTGCTGAGCCTAGCCAAAGTGTTTTCCCCCTGATGGCCATGGATCTAAAAGAGAGCTGCAAAAGTCAATAAGCGTTTGCAGTCCTTTTATTCCGAGTAGACAGTTTCTCAGAAACCGTTCGGATCCTGGACTTTCAGCTCAGCTAGTCTTTTTTCCCTGAGTCAATACATTCGAGCGGTGTCCCCGTCGGTGAAGTATATATATGGGAGTCGTTGCCATGCAAATGTAAGAAAATACCAAAAAAAAAAAAAAAAAACACTTTCTTTTTTGGACTCTTTCTTAAAGTCTAAACCAGTGTTTTTCAGCCTTGGCAACTTTTAAGATGTGTGGACTTCAACTCCCAGAAATCTGGAATTCTGGGAGTTAAAGTCCACAAATCTTAAAGTAGAGAAAAGGTAAAGGTAAAGATTCCCCTCGCACATATGTGCTAGTCGTTCCCGACTCTAGGGGGCGGTGCTCATCTCCGTTTCAAAGCCGAAGAGCCAGCGCTGTCCGAAGACGTCTCCGTGGTCATGTGGCCGGCATGACTCAACGCCAAAGGCGCACGGAACGCTGTTCCCTTCCTACCAAAGGTGGTCCCTATTTTCTACTTGCATTTTTTTACCTGCTTTCGAACTGCTAGATTGGCAGAAGCTGGGACAAGTAACGGGAACTCACCCCATTACACAGCACTCAGGACTCGAACTGCTGAACTGCCGACCTTTCGATCAACAAGCTCAGCGTCTTAGTCACTGAGCCACTGCGTCCCTAAACATTGTATAGATTTATCCAAAATTAACAGCCTGTGATTAGTAGGGTAGGTACCCAGTCTCTAGTTTACCCAGGTAAGATAACAGTGCCAGAAATGTGTCTATGGACATTCTCACAGGCTTAGCCACGGAGCCACCGCGTCCCTAACAAAGTTGAGAAACAGTGGTCTAAACTACCATGTGAGTAGTTTTGGTACACAGTTTTTATTTTTGAAAACCTTCATACAGTAGAACCTCTGGTCACGAACGCTTCTGACCATGACCAAATCATGTTCTGACCTAAAAAATTCACAATTATTTTTTTTTCGCAGCCGATTTTCCCTTCCGCACAATTTTTTTTTATATATAAGCGCCAAATTTCCAAAATTAGGTTCTGGTCACAACCAAATCGGGTTGCGACCAAAGTTATGGAACGAATTATGGTCGTGATTAGAGGTTCTACTGTATTTTAATGTCACAAGGGGAAAAGAAGATAACTTGTGTTTCAGTACTTAACTTTCCTTTTCATTCGTGAAAGACACAGGCCACAGCTACAGCTTGAAGAAATGTCGCACTTCTGATATATATAACTTTGGATTTTTCCTACCATTTACATTACCGAGCCGTGAGGCAAATGGCTGAATATGGACGTAGAGTCTTTATTTATTGATTTGATTTATTGCACATTTTGCTTCAAAGAGACTCCTTGCATAATTCCAGCTCTTAAATTCTGATTTGTCGCTTAGCATTTTATGCAAACGTAGCAAACTTGAAGTAAGGCTGTCGGTTTGAGCTCCAAGCTTGGCAATTTGATTGCAAATGTTTCATCGCCATTCGAGGAGACATCGTCTGTGCATTTTGAGTTGGGCTTGTCTGTCAGAGCACTGGTCTTTCAATACCTTTTTATCAGATGCAAATTAATCGGGCTCAAACCAACAGCCTAACTACCACCCCAAGTTACTAATATTCAAACGTATTTCAGCCACTACAGTAAAGCTTAAACAAATCGTG